CCTCGTGTCAGGATGTGACTTCCAAAATCCAACCCATGGCGGTGTTCTGCTCCGCCAAGATCCCATTCTTGGCCTGCCTCATCCCCTGCTAAATGGATTTCTTTAGGCCCCTCCTGTAGGAATGAAACCAGTGAAGTTCGCTCTGTTTTGCTGCTACCAGCTCAGAATTTGCTCCCCTCTGGTGCAGGTTCCAGAGAGCTCTTCCAGAAGTTGGGTGTGGCTGTGGGGCTCCCCCAGCCCTTCTGTGCCCACCCCCCCCCACACCATTCTTGGAAGCCTCCGTCCGGGGACTGTGCCTGAACTACTTAGGAGGGGAATCCTGAGTCTCTTGGTTTGTATTTATTTCAGAAAAACATTTCATACTTGAGGTCTCTAAGGAGGAGGCTCAAATGGTCAGTCATCTTGCACTGCTGCATTTTTTAAAAAAATGCACATTATAAAAGCAATACATGTAGTAGAGACATGCATAAAAGTAGAAGAAAAATCACCCTAAATCTATTCACCCAGAACAACTAATGTTTTTTTGGGGGGGGCCTTTGGGGGTAATTTTGGCCTATCACCTTCCCATTCTTTTTCATTGGCTCTAGTCATGGAAAGTATTGGTAAAGAACAGTGTCTACCCTCTCTCCCGCATACCGCAAACCCCCAGAGCCAAACACATACACACGCTGCCTTGAAGCCCAGCAGTCTACCGGGAAGGAAGCTTTATCCTTGGCCTTTTGCAAAAGGCGCTGACTTTTATTTGTCTTTTAATATCTACGCTTTGACAAACTCCTCCACGCAAAGGTTGAGGCTGTACCCAGAAACTCAGGTTTCAGGGAAGCGGGACCTTCCTGATATTGGTGTCCTGGGTAGGAGAGGTCCAGAAGTTCAGACGCAGCTGCGGTGTACAGCTCCCCACTTCCCAACCCTAGAATGACGACCTCCGGCAGAGACCCCCGAGCATCCAGATCACAGGGAATGTGGGTATGAATTGTGTTTGGATAATAAATAAGTAACAAGCGAGCCCCTCGTACAAGTCCTTAAATGCGAAAGAGGTCAGACTTTATTTTGAAGGCAAACTCAAGTTCCAGAGAGGGGCGCCTGGCTGGTGCTGTTGGAAGAGCATGCGACTCTCGATCTCAGGGTTGTGAGTTCAAGTCCCACGTTGGGTGTAGAACCTACTTTAAACTTCCTAAGGGGATGTTAGCATCAGAGCAACAGGTTGGTGTGCATTCTAGGAGAGCCACTGTCAATTCCGGGACCCCAGAAGATGGGACTATTCTTTGATCATTTCCCCCAAATCCTTGATAGCTTGAGGTCCAATCTTTCACCTTATAGGAGGCAGAGAGGCTGTTCCTGACAGTGCCCAGGCATCTCTACCCCAAAATAACTTCATGGGAAGGCCTTCTGAATACCCTGCTGCTTCTCTGACTTTGGCTGAGGTCTACGGAGCAGGGGTGGGGGGGTGGGGGGGATGCTGGGGGTTCAGAGATGTGTGATTTCGGGGCATTGGAATTGTCAGAGGCTGGCTTTGGAACTAGCGATTAGGAAGGTACAGTCTCACTGTAGCCACTTGTGGGAAGTGTGGAAGGGGCCTCGAGAGATTTCTGGGGAATATTACCATTTTAGGGGTACCCGGAAGACTGGGAAAATCTGCTTAGAGGAGCAGCCACTCAGGGGATGCTATTTTGTAAAAGCTTGCAGTGTGGTTTTTAAGAAGAGAGTGCATTTACCCATGGCTGGGAGATTGATATAGGAGGACCTTGTCTTCATTTCCTGGCCAAATCTTAGGACATTTGTACACTTGCCCACAAGTATGTACATGTGGATAGGAGACTGCTCACACAGCTTTTGAGGGTTCCCAAGTATGAATTAAAAAAAGAAGAAAAATGTGTGCTTTGAATTAGATCTATGTGAAAAAAAAAAAAAAAAGGCAACAGGCTAAGCCATGCGTCTGGGACACTGGCTCTCCTCCAGGGCCCTTCAAGAGAGCTGGGTTTCAGCATGTACAGAAAGAAAACGAGTCATTTCTCAAACCTGGATTTCCTTGTCTGTTTGGCCCTATTGATATCAATCTGAGCCCTCAAATGTCCTTTTTTGAGCAAGGAAAGCACGCACGACATTGCTCAGATTGAGAAACAGTTTGGATCCAAATATTACCATAGATTTGGCTCTTTCAAGTTATTTCTTCCATTGCTTTGGAGCAATAAATATTTAAGAAGTTAGGTTCTGAGCTCCAGAAAAGCCAACAAAAACATTTAAACATATGGATATCTTTTTTTATTGTGGTTAAAACCATGCTCAGTAGAGATTAGTTTACAGCAGTGTTTTCTTTCTCTCTTTGCTTTTTTTTTTTTCTATCTTTTTCTTTCTTTCTTTCTTTCTTTTAGGAAGCCAGAAGGATAAACATGTTGCCATGGTGTTCTGTTTAAAATAAAATACAATGGAAAGAAAAGCAGAATGATGAAGTAACCACATGGACTGCAGGATACACCTGATACTAATTACTGTCATGCAGAATGTTCTGGAAGACATTTGACTCGCCTGATGTATACATTCAAATCAAGCAAAGCAGGACTGGAAGGCTCCTTGGGGACCATCTTGTCCAACTCTTTCCTTTTTCCAGATGAGGAAATAGGGGCCCAGGGAGAGGCCTGGACCTCAGCCTCCCAGTTAGGAGGGAGCAGAGCGGGGATCCACCCCCCCCCCCCGGCTTTTGTCGGAAACACATAATTTCCAGGGTCCTTTACCTTGGCCTGTCAGTAAGACCCTGAAAAAGAGGAGTGGGCTTTACCATTAAACTCTTGAGCACAGGGCTTTGGAGCCAGGGAGACCAGAAAAAAAGCAGAGAGGCTGATTGCACTAGGAGGCCCAACTTTCCTCCTGGGCGCCAGGCCCTGAGAAGAGATGCGCATGGATGTCTGGAGTTTCTCCTTCCTGGGCCTCCCGGGGGCACCCAACCAAGGCCTGGGGCTCCTCCCAGAGCATCAACTCATGTCCTTTTGGGGCTGCCGGGCTGACGCCAAGAGGCACCATCTCTAGGACAGCCTCCAGGGGCCCAGAATGCGTGGCTACTGACGCTCTCTGGTGGCCGCCTGGGCTCCCACGCAGGCCTCCCACGCGTGGGGGGCGAGCGGGAGCCCCCGTGACAATGCGCACCCCTCGCCTCTGGCCCCGAGAGGCTAGCAACCGGGCCTGCCGGCGTCTGATTGGCTGCGCAGGCCTGACGACAGGGGCTCCTGAACCCTGATTGGTCCCGGCCCGCTCCGGCTGTTTCCTAGCTATTAATACTGAGGCTAATAAACGTTCTCCTGTTGACAAGGATGCTCGGAGCCATGATTTTTTGAAGCTTTCTTGACGTCTGCACCTGGTGCAGGCCTTTCTGTCTCGCTAGTCATGATGGGAGACTCTAGTCTCTGGGGCTCCTTGCGTGCTCCCCAGGCTGTAAATTGAGTGTTCTCCCCACCCACATTATTTGACACTTTAGGGTGGCTCCCCGCCATGCCCCCCAAAGCCCACTCTATCTCCATCTCCTCAGCAGCACAACTGCTCACCTATAAACGAGCCCCCCGCCCAAGGCTCGGTGTCTCTCGTGACCTGGTGGTCCACTTTCACCTCCCTACCACCACCCGTGGGCTTACAAATAGCTCTGTTCCTTCTTTTCAGCCCCAGAGTCTCCTGCCTGTGTGAAAGCCCCCTCGCAGGATCGCTGGGCATGGTGGGGGGGTGGGGGGAGAGGGGAGGCTCGATCGGAAGCTGCTTTGAAACTTCCCCCCCTCCAAGTAGTGCGGGGAGAGCTGTTCTAACTTGATAGTCCCCGCAGGGCCCCTCTGCCTTTCCCCTTTGGGACCCATCACTCATTCTCACCCCTCTTCTGTCACTAGGCGCTTCATCCTTGCCCTCCCGGCTGCCACCCACCTGTCACCCTAAGATAGATCCTTAGTCCCTTTCAACAGCATTTTGACCTTTTCGAGAGGACATTTGATTGACGGCCCTGCCCGCTTTGCCACTCAGTGCCCGGCAGAGCTGCCGAAGGCACCACCTGTTACGGATTAAATCTCATGTGCCAAGTCCCGGAGCACGAGGCCGTGCAGCTCTGCTCTGCCCCAACATGTGTCGCTGCCTGTTTCCCCGGGGCGGTCCGGGGAGGGGGAGGGCTTTTCAAAGTGTCTGTGTGGGGGAAATCACCTCAATTTTGGGGGGTACCCCATGCATCTCCACGTGGGACACGGTCCTCCTCGAAAAGTACTTTCCCTAGAGGGACACGGCTCATGTCTAAGTTATTATTAGGACCCCGGGTGGGGAGGGGTACCCCCTTGTGAACATGTAGGAAACAGACCCCCTGGCAGAGGAAGGGACGTTGCAAGGTTCTCGTGCACAGGTTGTAAGCGGCAAAAGCCCGGGACTCAAAACCCGTTTTTTTTCTGACTCGGAGATGCAATGCTGCGCGGAGGCTTCCATGTCAAAGATAACCAATCAGAAATGGACGGGTGGGCTAAAAGGGGGTGACAGCCGCTGACTTACATTTGGGTACTGGTTATCTTGCTCGGGGCGTGTTTTTTTTTTTTTTTTTCCGGGACAATAAGCAGAAAGCATCATTTTCTTTCCCTAAGCCGCATCCTCTGGTAGAGGTTCCGAAATAGTCAGGTGTGGGATCTGCTGCCCCCAGCGCCCCAGCTTTACCCTCGGCCCGCCTGAGGAAAACCATCCCTGGTTCCGTTCTCCCAGCAAATTGTGCGGACAGATCGCCCCGCTCGGCGAGCGGGTCTCGCGTAGGGAAAAAGCACCAGCGAACACAGGGTGTTGGTCATGGCGGCGAGGGGCACTGCGGCAGATTTTTTTCCTCCCTTCTTTGCTGCAATCTGGGTGCGGCTAGAGCAATTTGTCATAGAATCTGGGGGGCTCATTTTTCCGGCCAATCACTTTTGGAGAAATGAGCGCATTGCAGCAGAATGCGCTGACGTCAGAGACCACCCCTTCTGCGCCTCCATATAAACCCCACCCAGCCAGCCCCTAGCGCAGACGGCGGAGAGCTGAGATGGAGCGCGCCTTGGCCCGCTGGCCTTGGCCGCAGCTCCTCGGGAATAAGCGGGGCGCCCACGCGAGAATCTCCCCACCTGGTGAGTGGTTGGCCATCCTTGCCTGAAAGGATGTGCAAATCGAAGACGACACCCCTTCGAGGTTGGGCTCTGTCCTCCTGGACATGCCGATGACTGACGCCGGGGACCTTCTCTCGAAGGCGGCCACCTCGCCTGGTCCCCGAGTGTCGGCGATGAAATTCTGTCAGGCAGGAAGATCTCGAGGCACATTTTCCTGGGGTGTGTGTGGGGGAATCAGGGCCCTTTTCTTGTCCAGTCCTTACTTGAGGGTAGGCTGGGTGGTAGGGGCTTAAATGAAGACCAGGGGGAGGAATCCGATCAGGTCCCTGTCAGAATCCCGTGTACCGCAGTCACTGGGGTCCAAAACCCTGATTTTCTGTCCTCGAAGCCACCTTTAAAATCACGGTTGGTGGGAGATATGGCGGCGGGTGCATTTTGCATGCCCCACGAGTTGGGGGGGGGAAGGCACCTAAAAAGAAGAGTCTCCCAGGTAGATTTCCCCCCTAATTTTTGGCTAGGTTCTTGGTGGCCCGTAGGCGTGAGGAGTACAGGTTCCCGACCGCAAGGGATTGCGAATCCAAATACACGGGTTTAGTGCAGAGCAGACTCCAGGCAAAATTTAGAGTAAAATTGCTAACTGCTATCATCTGGTTGCCCCCGATCAGTCACTTTAATAGTGGAGAGATATGGCGCCCAAGTGCAGATCCATCAGAAGCCCCCTAGGATCAGTTCCGTAGAGAAGGGCGGCTGGGGGGAGGGTCAAGTCATTGGGGGCACTTGCAGAATAGAAGCAGGGGGGTGGGTTGGGGTGGAGAGAAGGCCATGTCCTTGGGGCTAGGGGAGGCTAATCAAGAGGGAAGAGAGAAATACGGAAAAGGGGGCGTGTTGGGGGTTGTCCAGGCGCTGGGAGTTGGGAATTGGGGGTCGGGGGTCTTTTTAGCATCGCGTGATGGTCGCTAGAAGATTCTGACATGTTGCGGGCTCTTGACTTTTGATAAAGTCGTCTTTTGCCATTTCCTTTGTCCCTGTCAAGCCCCCCCACGCCGCCCCCTCCCCACTCTGGGCCGGCGGGCTGGGGGGGGGGGCGCGAGCGGGTTGCTACGTGGCAGGTTTCTGGAAAGTTCTCTTGCTGGCCGCCAGAGGGCGCCGGTGGCACTGCGGAATTTTGGGGGGCGGGGTGGCGAGGGGAGGTGGCCTTTGTTCTTCTGCTGGAGGGGGTCGAGCGCGGGATTTACTGGAGAATTCTGGATTCATTTACCTGAGGGGGAAATGTTTTAAGATCCGGGGCTTCACTGGGGAGCGGCTGGAGCATTCACGCTGGGCAGAGATGCGGTGATTCGCACTGGCTGTGTGACTTAGGGTGTCGTGGAAGAGCGTGGACGCAGATTAGTTTATCTTAGTCGGTTTTGGTTTTGGGGGGGGTCTTAGGAAGGTGTGGCTCATTTGAGCAGGATGAAGGGGTCGTAAAATTGTTCATTAGGTGTCATCGTGCGAGGTCTTAAAATTCTTGTTGTGGCCAAGAAGGGAGATGAGATTGCGCGGTGGGAGGGGGTGGGGGGTCGATGGTGCTCTGGATGATTTTAGGTGGTTTTGGCTGACTTTATATTATTTTTTAGCGATACTGTTTTGTATCATGTGTCCAGAGACCACACAAATGAGTGAAAACAGTGTATCGAGAACTGGGCCTTTATAATTTTAATTAATTTATGTTTAAGTGGACTTACCGAAGGTCACAGCCAAGATTTCTGTGTTTTTACTTATTAAAAGTGGAATCGTGTTCTGGAAAGATCCTATGGAGAGTGCCTTCTTGATAGCCTTATGTGTCTCTCTGATGCAGGGTGACCCCCATAGTTGGGGTGCTGAAGGGCCCTTGGACATGTTTTGGGGGGCGCTGCTCGATGTCCACAGGTGGATTCTGGCATGCGATGGCGGGTGTGGTGTTTCGGGGACATAGCGGCCCTGCGCGATGTGCTGTTGTGGGCTGTGGCCTCCCCGCAACCCAGCCTGAGACCTGTTGCGCGCCCCCCCGCCCATTCTATGCCAGCTGTGCCCCTGGCAGCTGCGGGCCAGGCGCTGCGGGGGCGCGCGCGCGCACGCCGCAGGTGGCTGTGCTTCTGAGTCCTTGGGTGCTGGCCGCGCGCCCCCTAGCGGTCTGTGTCTGCAAATGGTCCTTGGCCCGCTAGGCCTGGCTTCAGGTTGCGCATGCGCACACAGCTGACACTTGTGCCCTGTCAATCAAGTCTTCCTTACCCCCTCCCACTTCTCTCCCTCCTCCCCTTTTCAGCTCTTTCCTTTCTGCCCCTCCCATTTCTCCTCTTCCCCCTCCCCTTTCGTTTTCCTCATCCCTCTTTTCCCCTCCCCTTCCTCTCTCCCCTTCCCTCCTCCCTCCTCCCCCTCCCCTTCCTCTTCCTTCCATGCCCCTCCCTCTTCCCTCCTAACTCCTCCCTCCTCCTACCCCCTCTTTCCCACAGCTCCCTCCCTCTCTCTCTGACTGCCCCCTCCCTCTCTCTGCTGTTCCTGTGCTGACCGTTAGAGGTCATCAAGATGGTTTCTAATCCGGCCCCCTTCCCATGCCATAGGGTCTCTTCAGGGATGACATCATCCGTTCACCTCCTTGTCTTCAAGGACCACCTCTCGATGCCACGCTGCTGCCAAGGTGCTTGCTGCTCACCTCCACCTGATGGTACCTCAGTCCCTCTTTGTGGCAGTGTATAACCCAACCTGACGGGCAGAATCCCCACCCCTGCCACCCTCTTTGCACCACCCCCAGACCCATTAGCAATGAAAAGACCATTTTAAATATTAACTAATTAGTTTTAGTTGTAATTAGTTGATTTAAATTTTAATTACTACCTAGACTTGGGCTTTTAAGTGGGTCCTCTAACCTTTGATCAATTGCAGAGGACACTAGGAGCTCCGACCCCTGGATGGCACCCACATACAAAGCAGCCACTGGCAGAGAGCCCCCGGGACGAGGATGATGGAGGATGAAGAGGACCACATCCGACCAGCCAGCTCTCCCTCTTGGCTGAATGCTTAAACCATTGCCCTAGTGAGGGGGCATTGGTCATTAACCCCTGGCCTTTGCTATGCTTATGCCTTGATGCTGTGAATACTTTCCTCGAAGTCTCTGCTTGTGTTCATGTGCCAGCGACCTGGAGTGTTTCCCTCCCCAAGGAGTTGTCAGTCTCTCTCCGACGACAACCCTGTTGTTGCCTGTCTGATGTCCTGAACAGAAGGATCCCTTTGGGAACTTCTCAGGAGGGGGACCTGGGCCAAGGGCTCCACCAGCATCTCACTGGCAATTCCAAGGCCCAGGGTGGGCTTCTGGAATGAGCATGAGCCCTGGACGCCATGCTACCGAACTGCCAAGGGCATCCCCACCTCTTCTCAGATCTCCCTGTTCTTTCTGGGGAACGGGGACAAGAAGAGCAGCCTCCCAGGGTTGTTGTGAGTATTGAATGAGATAAAACTGCCTCAGGCAGTGCTGGGCGTAGAGTTGGTGGTCAGCAAATGTCTGGTGAAAAAAGTCTGGTAGGTCAGTCCCTTCCCACCCCTGTCACTCTCGTCTCATGCTTCTCGTTTATTCTCCCGCAGCGCTCCAGGCAGCCCCTGTCTGCGGGGCTCTCCTTGAAGCAGGTAGGGGTCCACCAAGATGGGTGTTGGGCTGACCTGAGTAGGAACATGAATCTTGCATGTGGTCATTTCCAGAGCACTTTCTATGTTCTACGAGTGTCTTATTTCCATGTTGTGCATACCTATGCACGAAGCAGCCTCATTTACAGATGAGAATGGGTTCGACATTGATTTGGAGGAATTTTAAAAGGGTCGGGGGTGGCGGGGGAAAGAGGACTTAGGAGAAGCAAGTGCCCCCTCCCATGGCACAGGACACATTCACATTCACAGCAGGGACACTGAGGCTGGAGGAGTGTAAGTGTTTTGTCACATTGTTGGCAAGAGAAGAGGTCCGAGTTGGACCCTGGGTGCCCTTGTGGTTGCCCCTCACCACCCCCCCGGCCCAGAGTTCTACTAAGAGCCTTTTGATTTCCAATCAGGCATTTGACAGTGGGATAGCCTCTTTGAAATCCCAGCTGTCTAGTGTGGTCTCAGGGGCCTGGGTGGCCCCAGTTCTGGTGCCATGTGCTGGTTCCACCTTTCAATGATGGTGTGACCTTAAACAAGTCACTTAACTTCTCCAAGCCCCAGTCCCTTTCATGCGCTAAATGGGGATTTAAAAAAAAAGAAGAAGAAGAAGAAAAAAGCACCCGCATTTATGTACCCCACGGGGCGCTTTTGAAGACCAAATGATGTAACCACTATGAAAGTGCTTTGTAAATCGCTGTGGAAATTGCTAGATACTTAACTCCCGGGGTTAGCGCCTCATGGTGCACATGCCCAACCCCATTCTCCCTCGGTAATAATGGCACCCAGTAGGTGCTGTGTGTGTTTGCGCTCAATAAATAAATTCCAGAGTAAATAAAAGCAGAATTAATTCAACAAACATTTTCTGGAACGCCGACAATATGCCCAGCACTCCAGGCCTGGTATGTGATCCAAAGATGATGAAAACAGTCTCCTGGAAGCTAATTGGGGTCCTCATTCGACCCGCACTTTCTTTCGTCCCCTTTTAAGCCAACCAGTTTTGTCCGGACAAGACAAAAACAACTCCGGCCGCTATAGAGAAGCCCAGCTCGATGGAGACAATAGCTCCTGGGCATCTGAAAGGGGCTGATTGGATTATGTGGCAAATAGAAGGTGGAAGGGTGACTTGGAAGGTGACAAATGAAGTGGGCGGAGAGCTGCTTTGAGTTAATCCAGGCTATTAGGAGGGAACCTTTTGTCTTCCAGGGGCTGGCAGGAGCTTTTACCACTGGTTTTTACATCCTTAATGTAAGGACGCATAATTTATGGTCAGTGAAAATCCAGGCCCCGGTGAGGTTTGAGTGGGCCGTACAATTGAGCGTCCTGCTACCAGTGAGTAATTACAGTGAACATTTATGTCTCCCTTTGCAGTCCGCAAAGGCCTTTTGCAACCGTGGATTCATTTGAACCTCACAACTCCCTGTCCCGACCCCGGGGCTGGCCTGCCACCTCCAAAGGGAATAGAGGCCATCAAGGTGTTCTTCCGACTGGGGTCCCACGGCACATTTGCCACCCCCGTCCCCTCTTGGGTAGTGAAGGAAGAGGTGTCCACTGCGCTGGCCCCTCTTGTCTCAGACCTACCTGTCCCTCCCGCCACCAGTTCTTCCCTCTCAATTCCTAACTTTGCTCTCTCCACAGCAGGGAGCCTCCCAGGGCCCCCCCACCCCGACCCCCTTTCCAGCCACTACAGCCTGTCTCTTTCCTTTTCGCAGCCAAGCTTCTCGAAAGGCCTGTCTACACTTGCTGTCTTCCTTCCTCACCTCCAATTTCCTCTTCAACCCACTGCTTCCTGACTTGTTCTGCTCCGTCGAACGACCCTACCTCAGGTAATGACTTTTCTGTCGCTTAACTCTGGACACGTTTCCGGCTCACGGACACGCGGACACATGGACACATTTTCATTCTTGGCCCTCACAGGGCTTTCGGCTCTGGTTCCCTCCTGTTGACATATACTCCCCAGATGCTTCACAGAATCACCTGCTCCTGGCTTCCCTCATTCTTAGTTTCTCCTAGGAACTGGAGTATCCACAGCTTCTCCTGTCTGGGAGCCTGCCTCTTACCGTCTTACCATCTTGCCAGGTTTGAGGCCTGGCTGAACCACCTGGTGTTGAGGCCTTGGGGTTAGTCAGGTTTTCCAAGCCATGTTTTTCTCAGTTCTGGAATAGGGTTACTAATCTTTACCTGGCAGGTCAGGTGGGATGTGTTGCAGGTAAGAACCAGACACTAGTTGAGGGACTTGAAATAAGGTCAATAAAATGTTCATGAGAAAACCGGAGTCCCCATCAGCTTTTCTGGCAGGTTAAGTTCCCACGGGGAGAACCAAAGAGGGAAGAAAAACATGGGGGGCGGCGGTGGGGGAAGAGTAGCAGAGAAAGAAAAAGAAAAAAAAAAAAAACAGTAAGAAAAGACACTAGAGGCCCCAAAAAGTGGGGAAGGGAGACTTAGAAAATATTGAAATCTACCAAAAACCCATCCAGAGAAAGGTTTCCTCTTGGGTCGGGTCCGGCTAAAAGAAAGTAAACAGGAAAAAGGTTTTAAATTGATTATCCCAGTGACAAATCCCAGGAAGCTTTCAAATCAAATTGCCCCATTTTGAGTTTTTAACTCCTTCTATCAAGTTTAACCTCTTTACCTCCTGCATCCTGGTTAAACCCTCCCCAGCCCCCCTTGCTGGTGATTAAGTCCCGAAGGTACACGCAGCCTTTCAGCGGATGAATGGCCCACAGAAAGCGCCCTCCCCCTCCCCCCCCCCAGCTGTGGTTTTCAGTTTTATTCCACTTTCCGCCCTTTCCCCTTAATGAACACAGGGCTAATCTTGGGCCTTGTCAAGGAAGAGGCTGCAGACGTTAATGAGGTAGCTGCTGGATTCCAATATTCGTCTCATAAGGAGCCCTTCTTTGTCTGTGAAGGAAAAACACACTGATTATCATAATGAGGTGAACTGGCGTCCGCAGGCGGGGGCGACCAGTGCTTAGGCCACACTTCTAATTCTGGGGCTGGAGCCTGGGTTTCATTTGCTCCTCATTTAAGTCTTTGCCTCTGTCCCAGTGAGGGGTCCATTGAGTGGGGTTGAAAGTTGAAGGCCGCTTTGGGAAGCCTGCCGCAGATAGGGCTGCTTTGCAGAAAGTTCCTTTGTTCGACTGTACTACACACAGATGTCGCAGTGGTCCAGGCGCTCCATGCCTCCTGGATTCAGTCTCCAAAAAGCCCGGGAATGGGCGTGCGCGTTTCCTACTAGAGCACGCACCTGACCTATTTCAGGACTCACTGATCATTAAAAACTTAATCATCTACCTGGAGAACCCATGGAATTATCCCAAGGCCAGCACCCATGGAATGCCCCATCCCGGTCAAGAAACAGATGGATATTGGTGCCCCAGAGGCCCCCCCCCCGCCCCCCCAACAGAACTGCAAGGTTTGCGGTTCACATTTGGCTCCGACATACTGCTGAGCGTTGAGTGTCAGAAGCCCAGCGATTTGTCGGGATCACTCGCCAAGTGCACAGAGGGGACTACTCCGATCTGGCATCAGAACCCATAGTCCCTGCTTTTACCGGTTTCTTATCTCCCTCCCCCATATGCCCTTTGCCCCAGTGGAATTGCCCCCCCACCCCAAGCTTCTGTCCTGATCTTTGGATGCCCCAGAGCCCATCGATATCTTTAGAGCAGGTAGCCCCCCAAGTCTGAAACCTGCCCTTCTGTGTCCCAAGTTCTGGGTTTTTCTCACCCCAAGGCCGATCAATCAAGATTAGATCACTCCCAGTTAATCAACAGACTCTAGCCAGACCTTCAGCCAAATGGAAAATGGTGGGAGAAGGGAGGAGGCCCACAAGTTCTCTGTTGGTTAAAGGTACTCTGGCATCATGGCTCAGAGTTAAGCTTGCTCTTTTCAAATCTGCAAACCCAGCTTGTCAGGCACCTTAACCATGTCAAAGGATGTCCAGGTGACCCAGATGTTGCCTGGGTGAGGGGACTGGTAAGGATGAGCACCTCTGAAGTTAGGGATCCCACCAAAGCCTACCCCACTCTGTAGTTATTGGAGAGTAACATGATAGAGCAGTTCCTGGTGTTTCTAAATGAGAGGACTTAATTTTAAATAGGAAAAAGTTAACCACAGACCTTTTCTCCGATAAACAGTAATTAAAATACAGGCCCCCAAGTCATTAATATGCCAGCATCTAAGAACCTGGGAAGGCCGTGGAAGGCATTGGTTGGCCAGGATCTTGGGGGTTTTGTACTCATTCCGTTGTGTACCCATTCACCCCGAGTGCCTGGCATTGACAAAAATCCTCTCCCCCAACTCTGCTCCTGCTTGGGTTTCTGGAAACTAGGCAGTCTTCTTAGGCTTTTCTGAGGCTACCAGCAGAGGGGTCTGAGCTAATTGCTCCCTTGAGTATAGGGGTGGCCTGTTGTCACTTGCCCCCTTGTTTCTACCGCATCCCTTCTATGCCTGGGAAGGACATCGCTCTCTTCTGCCTGTGCACACAGGAACCCCCTGCTCCCCACACTTTCCAGCCCAGGGGTCCAGCCTGGCTTCCTGCGTGAGCCCCCTGGCTCCCAGAACCCACTGGTCTCAACATCCTTCATTAAATCAATCTTGGAGGCTCTGGATAGTTCTAGGAAGAGGTGGCTTCACCAGGTGGAAAAGCAGAGAATGCGTGAGGCCAGGAGATGCCCCCACCCCACAATTCTGAGTTTCTGTTTTTCTGCTTTTACTGCCCACCTCTGTTCTCCACCCCCTTCTTCCTCCCCTCCTTTCATCACCATTTCCTGATTTGGTCCTCTGGGGGTGCCCTAGGCCAGCCCATGCCTTCTCTGGATGCCCCAGCCTCAGCTTGGCACAAAGTGGGGTTCAGTAAGAGTATGTGGGATGTCTGTTTGGGCAGGTGAGTCAATGAAGGAACCGCCATACTTGTGATGCTAGACGGTAGTCTTTGGGGACCGAGGAGCTTTAGGCAAGGGTGGAGGGTGGATTTCATTTCACTGAGGGGGAGTGGGCATCGCTCCACTCCCAGCCCCATTTGAGCTGGGCTTTGCTGGTCCTGCCCCTTCATTCACTCAGGCGTCCATCCCGTCATCCAACAGTTGATCCTTACTGAGCGAGCCCACGGCCCGGCCCCGGCTCGGCCCGGCATCCCTTAGCGTGTCCCTTGATGGCCTCTGCCTCCCTGGGAGGGCTGGCCGGGGGGTGGCTTCTGCTGAGGGCGGCCTCATGCTGTGTCATGTGCTGGAGCAGTGGCCTCCGGCTCTGTGGAGAAGGCCGGCAGAGGGGTGTGAGGGGTAGGCCTGGTCTGCCTTCCTTGGGCCAGTTGGCCCCCGTGACCTTTAATTTAAACCCTGGAGCTCACTTGAAGCTGCCCATCACCAGGGCTCTGCTCCCTCCTGCCCCCTCTGCCTCCGACCCCCATCCCGTAGCTGAGTGCTGATGGCTGCCCTGGCCCCCTGCCCTACAGCTCAGGACTGAGGCGGGGGCACAGGAACCGCTGTGGTGTGTGTGCCCCTCGGGCTCTGGCCACAAGGGTCTCCCTCTTGAGTTGGGGTCTGTGACCTGGAGCTCTCCCTCCACGATGCCTTCCTCCCCCTGGGACTAAATCTAGCCCCTCTGCAGCCCAGGCGATGGCCGGGAACCTCCAGGGAGCTCTGCAGGCTCTACCTCTGCCTGGTTGCCCACCTGCTCCGCTCTGTCTGGTGGCCCACTTGACCCACCTGCAGCTCTGCTTGCCGTAGTCTGTCGCCTGGCCTGACCTACATACCCCTTCTCCTTGCCCGAATCACTGGGCTCCTGACCCTCTGGATCTCAGCTGTCCAGCCCTCTGCCTAGCTGGTTGGTTTTCCTTGCTGAGCCCACACCTGTGGTTACCTGGCCCTGCCTGCTTCCTCCTCCATCTCCCGCTTGCTTGCCTCTGGGCCTTGTGTTGGGTCCAAATGCCCCTCCTCCAGCCTAAGGAGCCCCTTTCCCTGTGCGGCCAGACAACTGGTCCCCAGTGCCCATGGGACAGGCCCCTGCTGACATGCCACCTCCCCCAACCATCCTCGGATGCCTCCTCCCGTGGTCGGGGGGAGCGACCACGGCTGCAGCCAGACTTCTGTCCTGCCCCTCCCCATCCCCCCAGACCGCTTGTCTTGTCCCACTGGGTGTTAGCCACAGCCTTTGCCTGTGAGTCCTGGGCTCTGCCGTGCCCCAGGCCTCGCGGCTGGTGCGGGGGCTGCCGTCTAGGCCCGTTGCTTCTCCTTCACCTCTTCATGTCATTGCTCATCTCCACGAGCCACCTCCTTCCACCAAAAACCACGCTGCAGGTGAGACTGGGCTCGATGCCTTTTCGTGTGTGTGTGTGTGTGTGTGTGTGTGTGTATGTGTGTGTGTGTAGCTCTTCTGGAGTGCTAGCCTTGTTGTAATCCTGATTTCCTGCCTCTCCTGCAGGTCAGCCCTGTCCTGGGCACACCGGCTGCGACCTGGCTGGGGCCGGCCGAAGAACCAGATGGAAGAGGCTGAAGCAGCCCCCGGAGGACCACTGGCCTGCACCACCGAGCCTGCCTTGCTGCCCGTTGCCTGACATCTCAGGCCCAGCCCCGTGCCTCTCCCCTTCCTCCTGGTTTGGGGTGAGTTTCTTGCTTTCTTGGGACACCAGGATCTCATTAGTTTCAGCTCACACATCTCTATTCAAGAATATATACATTTCGCCTGGGGAGGGGGCCACTACCAAGAGTGAATCTTCACCAACCCCGCGGCCTCGGGGTCTGCAAGCTGCCTGGAGCCAGGATTGTGGCCACATGGAGCCAGCATGGGTGGGGCCCACCCTGGGCAGTGGCATGCTGTGGGCCAGGCACGGTAAGTGAGGGGTGTCCACAACTCTGGCGAGAACCAACTCAGGCCAGGCACGCAGTAGGTCCCCCGTGCAGCTTTGCTAGGCACGTGAATGAAATGAAGAATGGTGCATTTGCCCCCTCTGGTCTCCGAGGCCTGGCCAGAGGGCCAGCATGGAGACGTGGAAATGGGAAAGCTTGTCTGTCTGTAGAAAGCCTTTCTCCCTGAAAGCCAATGCAATGTCAGCCCTCGTGAGAGTGCTGGGTTCTCACACACCAGGCTTTGATAATGTCCTTTAATCACAGAGTGGTTTTGAGTGAGTTCTTCTCTTGGCCCCTTTTCCTCACCCCTGAAATTGCAATGAGATGGAAATGTTTGGGTCTGTTTAAATAAAATCAGTAATGGTAGAGAAGAAGAAAGCAGAGGATTACAGCCACACAGTTCACGCCAGAACGAGTCATTTGTTTATCTGTGCTTTACTGATTCAAGACGCATGGATGGAGCCATGGGGGCTCAGGGCTGGGGCTCTCCTGGGGTGCCTAAAGCCAGCTTTGCTTCAAGGACCGGAGGGTCTAGAGGGGTTCCCACGCAGTTACGTGGCCCCTGTGGCAGCTAAGCAAGGTGGACAGGAAGTGAAGGAAGCTCGGCTGAGGGCACTTTCCTTTTTTGGGTGCCAGGAGCCGACGGCGCAGGGGGCCGGGCTAGCGAGGCCAGCTCTGTGCCTGTGGGGCCTCGCGTCCAATGCTCCTGGGGTAGCCACTGGGGTGATGGATGAGGCCAGTTAGACTCCTGGGGTGGTCCGGGTGGGAGATGGGGAATGGCCTGGCGAGGCTAACTCAAGCCCACAAACATTGATGGAGACTCGGGTGGGTCCCCCAGTGCCCTTGGGCCAGATGCCAGCGTCCCCTTTGGTGCCCACACGCAGGGTCTGTGGGAGGGCAGGCGATGAACAGAGCAGGGGGCCCCTCCTCCTGGTGCCACAGACCCCCGCGCTCCCCGCGCGGTCCTGGGTTTCTAACTCAGCTTCCGTAATGCCCTTTCATCCCACAGCGGTTTCAGAGCCAGGTCTGCCCTGCCCTTCTCCACTGAAAGGGAGATGGGGTGTGGATATTATTTTTAAACAAAACCCGTCAGTGTAGACAGCAAGGGGCCGGAGGTATCTGAACCTGGGGACCGTTGTCTTTTGCCTGCTTGTTTTTGTTCCCTGGAGAGCTAGTCAGGCTGCCTTGAGGCGGGGAGTGTGTGCCCGGGGCTGAATCCAAGGAGGGGCACCAGGAAGGCTCTGCCCTGTGATATTTACTCCGTAGCTGGCATTTGCTGAGCCATTGCAAGCAGAGTGACGTGGCAGAGAGAGAGGCCTAGGAAGGAAGGTTTACATAGGACAGGATGCAGGTCTGGGAGGGGCAGGGGGGGGGTCGCATCCGGAGCTTGCCAGACGGATCCGCGTAGCTAGTCTGAGCCAAGTGCCCGTGGTTTCTGGATTCTTCCGGAGGGACATCTCAGCGCTCCCTCAAGGTGGGCTGAGCTGAGGGCCAGAGTCAAGGTGAAGGCAGGTGTCCAGCTCGCCCCAGCCCCTGCCAGCCCCCTGCCCCTCATCCTCCACCGCAGTGTGGGATGGCGTCTCTTTGGGCCTAGTTGTATTTCAGGTACACTTGTGAGTGTTCCGTCTCAGGCAAATAGATGTTTTTGTGTGTCACGTATTTTGGGTTTTGTGTGTCACTAAGCAGAAAATAAAGACTAGATCAAGTATTCTTCTCAATTAAAGGAGTTAAAACAGAACATCATAAATCAGCCTTGTAGTCGAACATCCCAGGCGTTCTTAAGTGTTAAAAGAAATGATCATTTTCAGAAAATTCTTTTTTGGAGGGATTGGCCCATCCCTGAGCAGTAAGGGGTGGGTAGGAGCCCCTGACGGGCCCGACAGAGGGCAGAGAGCCCTGTCACTGTGGCGGGAGGGGTTTCTCTGTCCGTTTGTTACGAGCGAGGCTGGTCCCCAGGGCCTGCCTCTAGCTGGATGCTTCCAGGAGGGCACAGATGTGCGGAGGAGATGGTGGTCTTGTCTAGAAGCTGGCACTCCCATCCCACTGGACTCCCCCTGGGTGGGTGGGAAATGGAGCCCAGAGCAGAGCTCAGCCTCTGTGCTCATGGAAAGACACAGAGTGCCCCCTCGGCCCCGTGTTTTCCCACTTGCAGGTTGCTTGGGAGGCCTCACTGCAGCTTTCAGGGCCCCTGACCTCGTGCCTCCTGACTTGTGATTCAAACCCCAAAAGCATTTCCAAGCACATTTCTCCAAATAATGTCCAAAACCTGGCAAGACTTAAGGGCAACATGATGCATGTGTTTCTTATTCGTTTACATGAAGTAACTTCAATGTGTTTTTTGTGAGCAATCTGACTTCCAGAAAGAGAAAAAAAATTGACCCATCTTTAATGAGCTTGCTAATGAATTTTTCCTTGAAAAGAAGAAGGCGGCTTTACACAGAAGGGGGTGTGGAGGGAGACAAATTAAGGTTCTGAAGGGTTAAAGGGCAGTGGGCGATGGAGAGAGCAACACTGTCAGCGGAATTGAGAAAGGCCTGCGGCTCTGGGGGCAGTTTCTTTTTAGAAGACCCGTGTTTAACACAGTGTGAGTCCGTCCCAGGAGCGGTCCCCCTTCCCTCTGCTGCTTTGAGTCCTGTCCTCTCTCCTAAATGGCAAACAAGGAAGCATCGCCTGGTCTCCCATCTCTGGTGTGAGCAGATGGAAAATTCTGGACAAGAGTTGTATCTTCCCAAACGAGGCCATCTCCAGTGTGGGGTTCCCATTTTGAAAGGGGGACAGGAGTGTGGGCAGGGAGGGAGGGACAGCTCTCTCTATGGTACCTGGTTCCAAGGGGGCAGCCCCGAGTCCTGCATGGCTTCGAGAATTCGGGCCCTTAGGGTAGTCTGAGGGACGGGCTGTTGCAGAGGCAGCTCTTGTCCTCGGTGTGGAATGAGTCCGTGTTTCAGAGCCAGGAAAGAATTCAGAGAGCCCTTGGGACTCTGTTGGGAGGAGGTCTGCCCCCAGAGGTGTCCCCCCACCCCCTGGCCCTGGCACCCTACACGCCAGCAGGACAGAGCAGCACCATCGAGAGGGGTCCCAAGTTCAGTTGGATCCAGTGGAAGCGAGTGTTGGTGGGGGGACTCCTCATCTGTGCCAGGGTGAGAGACCCATCTTTGAGGAGCCCATACATCCTGGAATCTCTAGTGCCTTCTGGATTTTAGACACTCGGTCCCTTACCCCGGTCTTCACTGTGGAAAACTGATCCTTCTAGCCATGCTTTTGGGAACTGACTGATGAGAAAGTCTCCAGAAATATCTGTGTTTGTCTTCTCAGCTGCCCCTTCCCCCCAAGTCACGGGCTCATGAGGGTCCAGGGGCCAGAGCAGGTGCTGAGGAGCCGAGGCTGGGGTGGGCCCTCACTTGGGATGTGTGTGGGAGGGGAATTAATCAGGGGAGAGGAGGCTGGTGGAGGGTGTAGTCGTGGGTCTCTTAATTGCTCTCCAGTTTCTTTGGGCTTAAAAACAATCCAGATGGAGAGTTCTTAAGTCCCCCACCCTGGGGGTCTGGGCAGAGAAGGCTGCCCACCACCTTTTGCCTGGCTCCTCTGAGCAGTGAATAGGGTCTTTGGCAGGGGCTTAAGGAGGAGACTCTTAGCCTGGGAGCTCCCAGGGCCGTTTGAGGCTGAACAAAGGCACAGGCAGAAAGGAATGTGGGGGCGCCCCCCATGGAGAACAGCCACCTGGGGATAATCGGGAGGGCTGAGTGCACATGAGTTTTCCCAGGTCCTGTGAATACATTCTTTCAATAGAAGGTGCCTTTTCTTCAGATGAAAAGGAGAAAAGCTCAATCACCTTCCCTGGACCAGAGTGTGTGTGTGTTCCCTCGGGGGCCGCGGTGGCCCCTTCCTTGTGTGTGTGTTGGGGGCTGCGCTGCACAGACAAGAGGCTGCACAATGACACGGTTAACCAGTCACCCCTTCAGCGCAACCTCGGACATGCTCATGCTCCTTGGCTCTAGGGCTTCTCTGCAAGTTTCTCAGGAGGAAGAATCCTTGCGCCTCTGCGGGTAAACAAGAATTGGATCAAACCGGGCCTGATGCCCGAGAAAATGCCAGACGGGCAGATGGGGCCAGGGGAGACCGGCCTCCAGGGTCGGGGGGAGGGGGCCGGGAGGAGGGCCGGAGGGGCTGAAGGCTGACCACGTGTCTGTGCCAGCCCTGCGGGCCCCGCAGTGGGGTGGCTCCTGCCTCCCCCCGCCCCCGCCCCGTCCCATTCTCCAGGCCTGCCTGATACTGGAGGCAGAATCGTTCCTCCCGGCTTAAGAAACTGGGGGCCGGTGTTCACAGTTAAGGAGGGTGATGGGCGTCAGCACGGCTCACAGGCCCTGGGGCAGCCCCGGGCAAGGGGACCCTGCCAGATGGAGGGCAAAGAGTTTGCGCCACCACGGCCCCCAACTGTCCTGAGGCTCTAGCCCCTCTGGGGAACTGGGGCAGAAATCCCTGCCGTGAGAGGAGGGAGTCCGCATCCCAGTCTTGGCCGGTGCTTCTTGCTGCTGGCTTCTGGGCCTCAGTTTCCCCATCTGTAAAAGGAGGCAGTAGCCTGTCAGCTCTGCATATTCTCTAAGGCAGAAGGAGCATGGGATGTCAGTTTGGGAAAGGCAAAGGCCCTGTTTCACCAGAGGGGGTGGTGGGTGGAAGGCCTTAGGTGTCCAGACTGGGCCCCCACTAGCCTCCTGGCCGGGAGCAGGGCACACTCCCACTCCCTAGGACTTGTCGGTCGGAGGAGAAAATTCTGAATGGGTGCTCTGGACACGGCCTTTTGGAGAGCTGGTTCTAGCCCATGCTTAGCCCCAACTCTGGGTGTGACCTTGGATCCTGTCTCTAGCCTTCTGGCCTCAGTTTCCCCATCTGTAACAGGGGGCAATGCAGGATCACGGTCAGCGGAGGGCCCTTGGAGCTCTGGGATTTCCTTCCGGCTGCCTCAGTGGTCCTCTGTGGTTTGTTTATTTGCTGGGTCTTTAGAGTCCGAGGGTCAGAGATTGCTGGTGCCCTTCCATCCCACCCCCTCTGCTTTAGAGAGGACACAGAGAGCAGAGAGGGCTGGTGCCCCATCTCGGAGAGCAGGCCCTGGTGTGAAACCTGCTGCCGGTGGCTGGCTCCCTCTTGACCAGCACGGGCAATGGGGTCGCAGTCATTAGGGAGTCCCCATGGCCAGCTTTTTGTGAACAAGATCCCCATAGCGCTCACACCCCAGTCTAGCTCCCGGGGGCTGCCTGAGCACTCCGGGGCCGGGATGGCATTTTACGGAGCATTTTCCCAAATGGGTGGGCCGCCGGCCAAGCCTGGAAAACTTTCCGGGCTGTGGAGTGGTCGGTGTGTAATGAGACTGGCCCCGTGGCGGCAGTCCCAGGAGAGTGCGGCTGGCCGTACCCTCCCCTGTGGCTCACCCCGTGCCCTTTGGTCCCGAGACCCTGGGCAACACCTCTGTTGGTGCCCTCGCCCGCTCAGCTGAGAACTTCCTGAAAAAGCCACCCGGGTGGCAACTTCTGTCGGTAACCAGGCCTGTGCCAGCTGCCCGTCCCAAGACGCCTCTAGCCAGCCCTTTGTGCTTCGGCATGTGCGTGGTAAATAAGCTCGCAGAGCCCTCGGTTGGTCCCGCACCTGGTTATTGCCACGGTGGGCTGCAGCCTTTGTTTTGTGACCTTGGTTGTTATAATACCTGGGAACTGAAATGAGGAATCGAGAAATTGCCAGCCTCAATTAGACCAGCGACTGCCTTTCCCGAGGCTGCCTCCACCACTCCAGCCATTAACCGTAAACATACACCAAATAGGCCCTAATTCTCTCTAATTGCCCACTCCTGAAGCAGAGAGTGAGGTTCCAGGAAGAGGCATATGTAAACATCCTCTATGGCCCGGCCAACTGAAATTAGAGGGCTGATGGGGGCCGGCGAGAGAGGGGACGTGATTTCAAAAGATGTCCCAATTACCTCTCCCATTTTCATAAATGGGTCCATAATGTCCGGGCCCCGGTCTTCACAAAGGTACAGGAAATTAGCTTTGCAAAGAGCCTGTGTCTGTAAGGGAAGTTGTAGGAGGGTGGTCTTTGCTCAACAGGTAGGAAGCATGAGATCTGAGGCGAGGCTGATTATTTGTATAAACTACGGGCTCTATTTCTGGAAATCACCATTTGATTGAAAATAATCCTTTTGTGTCTTTCCTAGCACTAAACATCCATAAGTTCTTTGTACCAAAGGCATGCCAGACCCGTTAGGTCCTCTTGGCCTCCAGAAAAGAGTAACTTTTAAAATCTTGAGATGAAGAGCTAGACTTTTCTTTTTTTTAAAATTTATTTCAATTTTTTTTTTTTTTAATTTGAGAGAGAGAGAACACAAGCGGGGAGGAGGGGCAGGGAGAGGGAGAAGCAGGCTCCCCACTGAGCCAGCCAGGAGCCTGAAGTGGGGCTTGATCCCAGGACCCTGGAATCATGACCCGAGCCGAAGGCAGACGCTTTATCGACTGAGCCCCCCAGGTGCCCCAAGAGCTAATCCTGTGAAGCCATGGAGGATGTTTCTGGGGCGTCCACCAGGGCTCCCTGCATGGATCATGAGCTCAGGGCAGGCATTTAGGAGGCCTGAGATCAAATGCAGGTGGCGGTTCTTTCCCTGGACCCTGTAAGGAATCCCTGTGTTTTCCTTTGGCTCCAGACAGTGACTCATCTCTGCATATTCTCCGACACATCTGTTACCGTCCCAGCCCGGCGCTGCGTTACCATAGATCACGGCCGACCCAGGGCTGGGCTGCACGCAGCTTTGAAACCAAGGCATGACTTGGCCAGCACTGCGTCTTCACAGAGCAGCCTGGAGTCTGCATGAAAGTTAATCTGGGGCCGTCAGGAGCTCCGGGGGCTCATGGAGCCCCGGGGGCAGAAGCAGGAAAAAAAACCCACAGATGCCCCGAGCTACCTGATTTGCTTGGTCCTATTAAACACACCAAATACTACCCCCCACCCCGTTATTCCCACAGGAAGTGGCAGTGCCGGGGGGTCTGACTGTGTGTTCAGGGTCTGGAGTCCCATTGTCACCTTAGGACTGTGGTCATGAGAAGGGGGCCACCCCAGGGGCTCACAGGCTCCCTGGGAGGGCTGGAAACTATCTCAGGTGTATCCAGCTCCAAATGGGGGACCCAGAGCGTGTGCATCACCAGAGTCTGCCCTTGGTCATCCACTAGCTTATGACTGTTTGGTTAACATTTATTTTTTTTTTTAAAGACTTTTGGTTTTTTGGTTATAAAATCAACCGGTTGGGGGGAAAACAAGGTTTGGGAGGCTCAAGGCCAGGGAAGGAATTTTTAAGAGGATTTGGAAGCAAGAGGTGTACCCCACAGCATCCCGGCTAAGTCTTGGGAGGCATAGACAGTGGAGGGGACCCCACGGGGCTTACATTGGGACAGGGGGAGTTGCAGAGGGCCTCGTCCTACCTTGGGGCTCCCTGCCTGCACCCTCTCCTGCCCCGACCTCTGGCTCTGCCCTCACCCACCTCACAGCGCTGTTTAGACCTCAGCTGTGGCAGGGCCACATTTTGGCCACACCTACGTACCTTCACTAGACTCGACTGGACGTGTGTTCCAAATCAGCTCACTCAGAAAAATCTGTTTTGTTTTAACAAATAGACTTTTTTTTTTTTTTTCCCCTGAGCAGCCTTAGGTTTCCGGAAAAAGGGAATGGCAAGGACAGAGAATTCCTATCCCTGCCCCTGTCCCCGATTTCTCCTGTCACTAACAGCTTGTGTTGTGGGGCACATTTGTTACAACTGATCAGCCCATCACGGATGCGTCGTTATGAGATAATGACAGTGCTCATGTCATTCTTTGGGTCCCCTCTTTTGTCCTGTACAGTCTGTGTGTTTTGACAGTAACTACCGTTCCTGAATTCACTTTTTTTTTTTTTTTTTTTAACTTTAAGGCAAATGCTTGAAACACAAGGCTTGATGTGCCTGGACACAGCTTTTTGTGGTGCTGATTAAAATGTGAACATAATTATCAAAGTGAAGGTACCTCTCCTGGCACCACGATCTTCTGTCCTCTGATATGTGCGCCATGGTTTTAGGACACACTGTCCATTACAGAGCCCCCAGCCCGTGGCCCAGAGCCTACTACTCTAGTCTTACCCACGCTCACGCCACGCCCCGTGGGCTTCTTCCTGAGCACACGCTGTGCCTCGGCACTGCCCTTCCTCCGTGGTGGGATGCCCTTCCAGGGAGTCTTCTCCCCACCCTTTTGGTGTCCGGCTCAGCTTTCATTCATGCCGTGGCTCTGAATCTTTGGGCTCCACAAGACGGCACTTAGCTCTGTGCGTAGCACTCAGCCAAGGGCTCTTGGGGCAGGAGCCACGTCCCCGCCTCTGGGCCTGCACCCGTCTACTGCGTCCGTAGCTGTAGCTTGGGTGGGGAGCCTGGCGGGTGAGTGAGCACGCGGGCCAGGGTGCTGAAAAGAGAAATGCGTGATTTCACCAATTCCACACTTGCTAGAAGGTTGGGGAGTCCATGCTTTCGTTGGGTGAGGTTCCATCCCAGTGACCCCATGCTCTCTCATTCCAGTTGAAGACACTGTCCGGAATCCTCCTTGGAAGGAGAGCCCTCGACACACGACCCAACACCCTCCAGCGTTCAAATCGTAAGTTGCTGGAGTGTGGGGGACACATCTGTGGGCTCGTCGCTGAGGGTGGGGGGCTGCCACCCAGAGCACATGGCCAGGCGAGCCCTGTGGGAGGGCCTGGTGAGCACCGGCCAGGGGGCCGCTCACGGGGAGGTGGGTGCCCAGCGAGCCAAACTGATTGCCGACCTGGGGGGCTTGTGTTCTAAGGCAGGACCCCCAGCCTCCTTGTGTTGTCTCTGTGGCAAAAGAATTCTATAGGCGGCTTCGAGTGCCGGACCCCCAAAGAATTCCTTCTCTCTCGCTCCTCTCAATGAATGGCCCTTTCATTATTGAGTGTCCCTTTGGCTCTTGTGCCCCAGGGCAGACTAGGATGGAAGTGCCCTTGTGAGCTGGGGGGCTCTTCAAAGGGCCAAGGAAAAAACGCGGGCCGAGGGACCAGCCTCTCAAACGGGCTTCGAGCTCCAATGACCTTCGCTCACCCCCTTGAAATGTCTGGAAAACAGAATGGGCAGATTTTCTGTCTTCAAAGTTTCCGGCTAAACCTCTTCAAGTTCTTTATTGTTTGGGACTGAGACACTCAGCAATGGTAATGGGTAGTTTCTTTTGTATTTGCCTTGAAAGGCCAAAATATTTTCATATTGCTACAGACAAAGCCGTCTATTTAGAAATGAACGCCATGTCTGTCCTTTCCCACTGGGGAGACTATGTACGACGTGTGTGTGTGTCTTTATGTACTCTAGGGTCTTGAAACAGGTTTCTCATGGGGATGGCCATTCACTGGGGTCCAGGGGGACACGCCTGCCCTGCCAAGGGGGCCTGGGGAACCCGGCCCTAATTGCACATCTGTCCCAGTTGGTCTAGGACGTGAGCCCCGGGAGGGTCCAGCTGCACTAACATTGACTCTGCCTCTGCCTGCATCTGCCACATGTGTGTGTTAGGGACTGTGGCTTGTGCCTTGGTGGTCAGCTTGGTGGGAGGAAGCAGGAGGGTCTAAGTTACTGTGGATGTTCTGTTTCTCTTGTTGGGAGGTCATTTCACGGGTATCTGTTACATGATCCAAATAAGGGCCCATGGATGCATGAATGAAGGCAGAAAGGAGTGGATCAACAAATAAATAGGTAAAGAAGTGAGCAAGCCAGGATGAGAGTGCCGTGAACGAGATCCCATTTGATGCCTAGGACATTGATCTCTAAATCAATAAAGTATTGAATCACTGTGTAAAGAGAGCCCCACATGAGCTGATACTTAGTCCTCATGGACCCAGGAATAGGTGTAATGCAAATAGATAGCGCCTGAAGTTTACCAATAAAAGAATAAAATGTAAATAGAAGAGAGAATGACCAAGGGGTGGAAATGCAGAAGCCGGTAGCCACAGGCCTGTGTCATGTGCTTACATAGTCGCTAGGAGGCTAGATCTTCTGTGAAGTGTTCTGATCACAAATGATAGCAATGATAATGATCCTTCTGGGTGGGAGGAAACTTCTGGAGGTGATAAATAGGTTTAGGACAGGATGGCGGTGATGGGTTCGTGGTGCACACTGTGTGTCAAAACACAATTAAAATTAAAAAGCATAAAGAGAAGGTCACTGAAAGGACTCCCAAAGCACTGGTGAGAACAAGAGGATGAGTCCCATCAAAATAAGCCGGTGCAAGAGAGGGAGAGAGGGAGCAGGTGATTGGGAGGGAGAGAGAACACGACAAAACATAAATAGTAAATGGAAGGAAGAACGAGCATTTTCTTAAATTGGGGGATGCACAGATATATAAGGAGGACTACGTCAGGTGATCGTAAACCAGGAATTAGGACGAGTCCACACGTGGGCTCCTGGCATGGACAAATAATTAGCAGGCGAAAGTTCAAAGAATAGGTAAAAAAAAAAAAAAAAAAGAGAGGACCCAGGACACCAAAGAAGAGAGTTAACTTTTACTAAAAGTTGTCTAATTCCAGGCACACATAAATAAATAAATAAATACAGAAATGAAAGAAAGCCAAAGAGAGAGAGAGTGAGCAGTGGAAACTCTTGGACCCGGATGGGAGCATGGCCTGAGGGGCTTGTGTCCCCCAGTCCTGGGAGCTGAGTCTGTCCCGTGAAAGGATAAAAGAGAGAATAAAGTAAAATATCCAAATAAAAATCAAGAAGCACGGAAGGAAAAAGGACAGGTTGTCGGTCCAGAAATACAGGAATGGGTGAATACGTACAGGTAGACGGTGGTAGGATTCGTGGTGGAAAGCTGTCATGCAGCAAAGATTATGGTGAGTCCAATTCTACAAGCCAGGGTGCTATCAATAAAATAAGAAGTCTCCAAATCAACAAGTAATTCAGGATCCAGAGAAACAGACGGGGCAGAGTAAAGGGGAGCCGGGCCCATGGGCAGCAGGGTTGTCATTAATCCCATCTGGGCCCCAAAGCCCCCGGAGAAGGAAGGCAGGCAAGTGGAGGGGAGAAGCAAAGCTGAGCAGGAGGGAAGAGCAGCTCTCAGGGTGTTGGCAACCCAACAGAGAGATGGGGGGATAGGTAGGGGATCCACAGGAGAGGGTGGGCTCAAACCGCAGATCATCATGGGTCAGAGTCTGGGCATTCACTTCCATTAATAGTGGAGTAAGTAGCTGATAAAGAAAAAGAAAACAGGAAGGGAGAATGGTCAGAAGGAAGGAAGGAAGGCAGGCACCCATGGAGGAGCTGCAGGGGTCAGGGATGGCCATTTGCAGGTGGCATTAGGATTCATCGGTCTGGGCGACTGAGCACCAAAGATGCAAAGAACGCAAGAAAGGAGAGAGACAGAGAAGCAGGAGAACGGGCTGGGCTGGGGCAGACGGTTGACTATAGATTAGCATGTTTGCAGTTAGGTGTGTTTGCCTCCAGGAGCATAAAAATAGGTACTTAACTAGTGAGAAGGACCCGAGGGATCCATGAGCACCCTAGGGAAGGAGTGAAGGAGAAAAAAGGTTTGTGTTAACTGATGAGGAGGGTGCCTGATTTCCAAAAGAATGACAGGCAGTGAGGGCGCCTGGGTGGCTCAGTCGGTTAAGCGACTGCCTTCGGCTCAGGTCATGATCCCGGAGTCCCGGGATGGAGTCCCGCATCGGGCTCCCTGCTCGGCGGGGAGCCTGCTTCTCCCTCTGCCCCTCCCCCCTCTCATGTGCTCTCTCTCTCTCTCTCTCTCATTCTGTCTCAAATAAATAAATAAAATCTTTAAAAAAAAAAAAAAAAGAATGACAGGCAGTGAGAACGACTGAAAGGGTGGGAGAGAAAAAAAAAACAATCAAGGGGCACCTGGGTGGCTCAGTTGTTAAGCGTCTGCCTTTGGCTCAGGTCATGATCTCAGGGTCCTGGGATCGAGCCCCGCATCCGGCTCCCTACTCAGCGGGAAGCCTGCTTCTCCCTCTCCCACTCCCCCTGCTTGTGTTCCCTCTCTAGCTGTCTCTCTCTCTGTCAAATAAATAAATAAAATCTTAAAAAAACAAAACAAAACAAAAAACAATCAAGATGGGGAAAAAAATAAAAATAAAAAAAACTATAAAAAATAATAAATAAATAGGTCAAACAGTTAAGTGTAGGAGAGGGAAATGGCTTAGCATCAATTCATCCACATTCATTCAGATCTGGGGCCCCAGAGTTTATAAATGATAAAAACAAGACCATAAATAAAAAGACCGACACACGTAGGTATGCGAGAGGGAGGCTCACGCTGGAGCCAAGAACACGAGCAGGCGCCGTGAGCCCAGAATTACGACTGATTCAAAACTGGGCTCTGGAGACGGTGAAATGAATCCTAAACCAAATCGGCAGTACGAGGAATTAACGAACAAAAGGAAGCCTCGCGTGCGCGGGCGCTGCAAAGGATCTGGGAGCCACAGATTATGGTTAATCCAATTCTGTGCACCTGAGGTCCATAAATAAAAGAATAAATATTGAAATAGAAGGGTGACAGAAAGAATGAATGGACACCGGAACGACTGAATTAGAAATGGAGATGCCTGGGACAGCCAGGAGAGCGCTGCCCTTGGGATCTTCACTCATCAGACTCCGTGCACCTGAGGCCCCCTCCCGCCCCCAGCCAAAAGATGCAGGGACTCAGCGCAGAGGGGAAGAGAGAGGAGAGTGGAGGGAGACTAAGTGAACAAGGAAGGGGGGGAAGGACACCAGAGAAGGGCACTGTGGGTGTGTCCGAAGGAGCAGGCTCTGTTAGGATTAGCCACGAGCTCCTCAGTCCTAAGGGTTTCTAGAGCGAGGGAAGTGGAGGGAGTGGAAAAAGAAGCGAAAGACGAAAAAGGGAAGATAATAAACATGAAAACAACCACAGTGACAAATGGAGAGTTGGGAGAGCTTGTCTGAACAGGGATTATAATTAGTTTACATACACTCTCCTTAAATAGATAAATGCATTACCCCTTTCAGAGAATAAATGAAAAATAAAGGAAATACCCAGCCCAAGGACAAGGCTGCATCTTCTAGCACTGTAATAAAATAGATGCAATGGAGGCCCATGAATGAATGAATAAATAAATACCTTAAGTGTAAGAGCTGACTCAGTGCCAGGAAGAGAGACTGCAGATATGCACAGCAGCGTGGTGCTCGGTGTGCAGGGGGCGGGGGGGGGTGCTTACCTGGCAGTTCTCTCACAGGGGAGCAGGAGTGGAAAGGAGGGCCCCGGGTGGGGGGGGAGTGGACTCATCCTCTCGTGGGGAGGAGCGATAGAAAGTCAGGAAGGGGAGATTTGGGAAGAAATAAAAGAAAGGAATAGGGAACAAAAATGCTGGATGAGCACGTAAATAAAGCTTGTGAAGGGAGGTCTGCACGTCCAAGGCTGATTGTGGAGGCCCAGAGATGAGGGAATTAAGTGTAAAGGGATGAATGGAGGAGGAACTGGAAGGGAGGGACGGAGGGAGGAAGGAAGGAAGGAACAAGGAAGGAGGAAGGAAGGAAGGAACAAGGAAAGAAGGAAAAAAGAAGGAGGGAGGAAGGAAGGAACAAGGAAGGAGGGAGGAAGGAAGAAGGAAGGAGGAAGGAGGAAGGAAGTAGGAAGGAAAGAATAAGGAAGGAACAAGGAAGGAGGAAGGAAGAAAGGAAAGAATAAGGAAGGAGGAAGGAAGGAAGGAAGGAACAAGGAAAGAGGAGGGCAGGTAGGCAGGCGGGCAGGCAGAAAGGCAGGGGCTTCTCTGGCCCTGAGTCCAGGCAGCTGAACGAGAGGGTGAGAGGAGGGACGGCTCTTGGCCTGTCGTGTGCTTGGTGCGAGCACTTCGCCTGGCAAGGAGGAACTGGCGCAGGAAGACCCTGGCTGCGGAGGGCCAGGGCGCTATCCTGGCTGTGTGGGCCATTTCACCTCATTTCTCTGATCCTCAGTTTCCCCATTGGTAAACTTGGAAGGGCATCAGCTTCCTGCTTGGATTGATCGTGGGGGCAAATGCCATCCCACCTGTTGGCAGTGCCCTGTCCACGGCCCTGGGTAGGCGGAGGGGCTCGGGCCCTGGGCCTTGCAGAAGGCTGCGTGAACCAGGAGTGTGGGGCCGGGTGGGTGTCTTGGCCCCTCCCTGGGCTGGGTCACCTGTGAGGGAGGCTCTTCCCGCCAGGGGCGCCAGGGGGCAGCAGAGGGCAAGGGAGCAGGAGGCCCTGGGGCTCGTGGGCCCCGCCCCTGGGCTGTCCGGGTGTGGCGCCACCCTTATGCAGGGGCTGTGCAGGTTAGAACCGGGCCAGGAGGGCCTGAGAAGGTTGACCCAGGAGCCCAGTGACCCAGGTGCCCAGAGGCAAGTCACCGGAAGCCTCGTTCATGAAACCTTCTGAAATGTGCCCAGGTGCCCTCCAGCCTGGTCTTCTAGGGGGTGGGCCGCTAGCCCTTCTCAACGGGGGGGTGGGGATGTCTTGGGCAGGTGCACCTCGGCCCGGGGTTGCAGACGTGGTCCCGGGATCCCGGCCCCCTTGACATGGCATCCCCAGAGCCCGTTTCAAGGCCTCACTGTCTTCTCGACTGTTTTCCGATGTCCTCTGTATCTGGGCAGAGATCGCGTTGGGGTGTGTGTTGGAACTGTCCTCTCTCCTCCTGACCTGCCCTCCTGGGGCCGTGGCAGGTCGGGGAGTTCGTTTGTACTGACGTTTCTGACCCCAGGGACTCCCTGGATCTGTCCAGTCTCCGTTCTCTGTAGTGGACGGGGTCTGTGCAAGTTGTCTGTTATGTGCCTGTTTGTCTGCAAAAACTAGAACCGAAGTCCCCCTCGAGCTCTCAATTTCTCTTTGGGACATTAAACCAAAATTGGATTCTTGACCAGTGCCCTGAGCAGGGGGAGCCATCTTGGCCGGAGCCTGGGTGCGTGGCTGGGAGCACGAGGAACCCAGAGGAGCCGGGCTGGGTGGGGCTGGCGTTGGGGCTTACACCTGCAGTGACTTTGGACCCTGGGTGGGAGCAGGCGCCGGGGGAGGGGGGGCTGCCGCAGTGGGGGCCAGCCATGCTGAAGGTGTTCACTCGGGGCAGGGAAATGGGGGGCACAGGATTCATAGCTGTAGAGTTTGAGACAGGACGTGAGGAGGGAAGTGAGGGCGGACTGGGTGACTTCCATGCCTCTCGTGTGGCCCCGAATGGAGGATGGAATTTATGCGTCAGGAGCCACCCTTCTGTGCCTCCAGAATCACATGCCTGGGCCACGTGAGCAAGGCCACATGGGCCTATATGCTGGGGCTGCAGGGCTCTGCTCTCCTTCCCCTAGGAATCTGGGGGCTCTGGGCTCTGCCTCAGCCGGCCTGAAGCCTGAGGGGTGCACTGGCACCCTGAGACACCTGCTAACACAGGGACCCCCAAAGAGCTTCCCTAATCAGCCCACATATCACCCTGTGGACTAGGGTGGGGGCGGGAGGGGCCCGGAGCAGGGAGAACCCTTATGTGGTTATTTTAAGTCAGCTGAGGAGCAGGAAGACTTTAAAATGTTAGGTGTACAGTGGGGGGGAGGAGGAGGGGGCCACAGCCAAATGCCCGGAAGAAGTAGAGGAAGAGGGACATACCTCTAAGGGAGCCTTCTCCCCGTGTCTGAGGGGCTGTTGAGAGGTCCCAGGGGCTGGAAATGGGCCAATGGGAGAAGCTCCAGGGAGACTTGCGGGTGCCCCGATGGGGGTGTGGGTGGGGATCCAGTGGATTGTTTGTGTTCTCAGGAATGCAGAGGGCATGAGGATTGTCAGGTCAGGATGCGCAGAGTCTTTGGCTCTTAAGAGTTTTAAATCTGCTGTTCTAAGGGTCTCCGTTCTGGGGTGCTGAGATTCAGGACATGGCTTCCCCCCTGTCACCCCTCCCCACCAATGGCTGCAGAAGCCAGAGTAGGATTCCTGTGGGGGCCCCCATTTATCCCGACCAACCCATGAGCTCCGAGTTGGGATCTCAGTGCTCCCCTCTGATCAGGGCACATCTTCAGTGTGTTTTTCTTTCTTTTAACTTATTAAAACAAGACCAAATTTTCTCTCTTGGACTTTGACTTTTGCATGCACTCCATGCACAAATCCTTCCCCTGGTGACACCAGGAGCTCTATTTAGACTCCTCTGTGACTCCCAAATCCCTCCTCGGGAAGCTCAGCCTCAGGACTGACCTTCCAGAGGCTGGAGGCTGGAGGCTGGGCCTCAGGGGCAGACAGGCCAAGGCCCCCCTTGTGTTCCTAATGTAAATGGTGTGGATGGCACATGACCTAGAGCAGGAGGTCACCCATCACCCTGACATGTCATGCCACTGTCTTTCTCCCCTTCACATTCTTGTCTGTGGGCATACTTTTATTTATTTTTTTTAAATGGACATCTTTTTTCTTTTTTTTTTAAAAATAAGCATCCAGTTTTTAAACCTTGCCCTTTTCACCACATGCATCCTGCGTTGTCCATGCAATATTTTTGTCATCAGCGTTTTTCTTTTTTTCCATGGAAAAAAATATCATCACCTCACTGGCTGTGTCGTGTCCCATCGAGTGGTTATATGCCATCGTTTGCAGTGCCGACCTGCTATTGTTATGTATAACTCATCTTTTTTTTTTTTTTCCCCTAATGCTATGAATTCCACCACGGCGAATGGCTTTGCGCACATCAATTTTTTTCATTCTTACGAATTGCTTTCCTTCACCCCGAAATGACCATTGCTTCATGGCATGCCAGTTTCTCCTGCTAGACTGTGAGCCCCTTAAGGGCAAGGAGCTTGCCAAATTAATCTTTGTACCTCCAGTGCCCGCCATGTTGTGAATGCTGCATGGATGGCGTGCCGGGTGAGACGGTCGAAGGATGAGTGAATGCATGGATGCTGAATGTACGATTGGCTCTCCTAGGGTCGAGCTTCTTGAGTGAAAGGCCAGGGAGTCTGTATGGGTGTTGACTAATTTCCGAGGGCCTCTAGCATTTTACAATGTCCGGTGATGTATTAGCATTTTGTTAAGATATTGCTAGTTTATCTCTGTTAAACAGTGTTTTTCTGTCATATTAACTTGCATTGCTTTGATTACTAATGAAGGTTGAGCATTTTCACATATACTTGTTAACCAATTGTATTTTCTCTTCTGTGAACTGTTTGTCCAAGTCCATTGGGTCATGGCTTTCTGGTGAGACTGGTCAAGGATGGAATGGGTGTCCTTGGGACGCAGTGAGCCCTCTGTCACTGGAGGCATTCAAGGGGCAGGCCAGGCAGACACCTGATGAGGGTAGTTTAAAGGAGATTCACATAGCAGGTGTGGGGTTGGTCTAGATGGTCTTGCAGGTCTATTTGACCAAGATTTGCTTCTCCCTGGAAATGGGGGGTCGGGACATCTTCCATTTGGCAGCCTGGCAACATGTAAGATGGCATCCCCTGGGTGGGGGTTCATGCATTTATGATTTATAAACTCTACACCGCACCCTCTGGAACTCTCGTGGGACAGGAATATCTCTTTGACCCTCCGAGGTCCAGATAGCCATGCCTAGCATCTCGTGCAGTTAGCTGGTGACTTCTCACCAGCCCTGACACCCAGCCCTATTTCCCTTTGAGGAAGCCAGCCCCCTGGACCATCACTTTCCACCTCTTAGGGAATCAGGAGAGGCCATCTGCTGTCCTTTTCATTCCCAGTGTCCTGTGATGTGTGAGCAAATGTCCCCGAGGCCTTAGATGGATGGCACGTATTGGATCAGGACTGGTGGAGAATCCTTCAGGTTTTCTTCAGTGGGGCAATTAAATTTTGTGATCCGAGCAGCAGGATGGACCCCATGGTCTTCTTCCTGGGTTTCCCCTTGTGCCCCACTACAAACGAACCTCGGCTCAAAGGCCATCGAGACCATTTGGCGAGGGTGTGTTCCCCACGGAGAGCTTGCCCTACCTTCCAGAACAACCCCTGCCCTCAACAGGGAGCTGCTTCTTCCCGCCGAGCCCCCTCTACTATAGCACTGAGCGATGTTTGCCTGCGTCAGAATTAGTCACGCACATGTCTGTCCCAGCATCGAGGCTTGGGAGGCCAGCAATGACTTCCAGCGTTGATTTAATCCATCCATCCATTCATCTGTGCATTTGGCCTCCATTTCTTGACCTGGTGCTTTGGCCTCTCCCTTCCCTGAAAGCAAGCCTTTTCATTTTGGGCGGGCTGTGTAGCTCCACGGGCTGTGGTCATGAAGCGAACGCCCTTATTAGAGCTTTCTCCTCCGGGGTCACTGCTCTGAGCACGTCCCAGCTGGACTCATCTGCCACTGTCACCCACACGGCTTCTGTCCCCATGGTGCTTTCCCAGGCATCACCCACCGCGGCGGGTCCAGGGCCGGGGTCCGAGAGGGCCCCCCACCCGTGAGCGGAGGTGTCCTCCCCAGGCTGCCCTGCCTGGTGCATGGTCCCTGCCATGAGCTTTGCCTTCAGCCTCTCTGCTTCCCCCACCCGATGGCAGTGGTTGTAATTCACCCCTTCATTCCTTCATCCCTTCATTCCTTCACAGTCGACAAACATTTCTTCAAATTAGCTAGTGCTATACTGGAGTGGGCTCCCAAGGACTCATCCCCGATTTCCTCCTTTTGGAAGACAAGACGAGCATGTCTGCAAGGGGCCGTGTTTGTGTGCTAGCAAAAGGCTCGACCCTTGGTTCAGCCCCAACTTCGAGATCCGAGTTCCGTTGGAAGTTTGATTGCCCTCCCCGACTTTGTTCCTTACAAAACTAGGTTGATTGGTAATCAGCAAACCGTGTCCCTGGGTGTTCAGAAATCATAACCTGTGTCCTCAAGAGGCCAGAGTGATGGCTAGGGGGTCTGAGATGAACGGCTGCTTCCGGCTGTGAGCTGGCTTTTAAGTCATTAGGACACCCTGATCTTGCCCGGTGGTGATCTTAGAGTCGTTCCTGTCCCTTTCGAAATTAGTTAATGCTGGGCTCTATTTAGAGAAAACTGGGAGAGATGATTGCTCACGGAGGTGATAAGGAGCATGCCCTGTGCGGGGGTCTGCACAGAATTTTCCGTTGGCAGACCTGGGCGTCCAAGACACATGGTACTTCGCAAACCCTGGACGTGGCCCCAAGCATTCACGTGGGTCCCAGGCACCCCCCCACCCCCACCCCTTTTGCTCACTGCTGCCCGTGGGGGACAAGGCAGAGGTCTTGGGGCCTCTGCTTAGAATTCTGCTGTGTATTCATTGCACTGGAGAGAGGCCGTAGTGAGCAAAGCCAGGACCCTGGAGCTGGACAAACGTGTGTGGTTTAAACTGACCGTGACAGCTTGAGTCTGTCTTCTGGGACAGAAGCACCCACCTCGCAGGGCTGTTGTGAGGATTGCTGTAACCGGGGCTTTGAACTGGGATTCTGACCAGGTGGTGCGCGTGCCCCCGGGGGCTGCTGGGGGTGGGATGGCAGGCCAGGTGGGGCAGCCTGACTCAGCAGGTTAGCAGGGAATGGCTTTGCTAGACGTGCAGGGGCACCGTGGGGTAGGGTGCTAAATTGCTTTGACATTGTAGGGTTAGACAGGAGTAATTTTGGCAGGGACCTTTATGCCGGGGGCATGGGCCTCTTTGGGCAACACCCTTGCCCCCCCTGGGGTACGCGTTCACGCTCACCTCTGTTAAAGGTTGGAAGCACCCACTGGGTCTTGCCTACCGCTGTGTCTGGCCTGTGGGCGGCACTTACACACGACCCTCCCTCCGCAAGAGATCTCTCCTGGCAGTGTCCTCCCCGCTGAAATATTAGGCAGCAGCCATCAAAGACACCGCAATGTCCCCTCTCTCAATTAACTTTTGGGCTCAAATGCCAGCAGCCTGGGTGCCTAACACAGTACCAAGCCAGTGGTAGGGGTCGCCTTCCATTTTTGTTGAATGGATGCATGGGTGAATGGCCAAATAACGGATTGTAACCAAATGCAAGTGGCAGATGTTAAAACCCTTACTAAGAGTTTGTATTTCGCTCCTGATTAACCTGTTAACAATTGTTGTATTGTATCTTATGGACTTCTGTATGACTCGTGTTGTTTGAAAACCAGGATTCTTGTTTGGGGTGTCGTGAGATGAAACTTTTTAGCTGTCTGTGTTCTGTGTTAGGAATTAGAACCCGGCAGACCCGGGGGGCCACCTAACTAACTGTGCAGTGCTGGGCAAGTCACTTCTCCTCTCTGACCCTTGGTCTCTCTCCTTTTCTCTGATGGGTCACCAGAAAGCTCCCTCCACTGGGTGGTTGGGAGGCCAGGGGCTGGGTCAGCTATAACAGAGCTGATCAAACGCTGGCGCTCATTGAGGATCGTCGTATGTTGGGGGTTGTCCGGCAGGTTCCAAGCCTTTGCGGGATCTAAGTGAGTTGAAAGTCAGTATTGATTTTATGCTCAGATTGTATTTCGACAGTCAATGGAACGTGTAAGACAGAGGCTGAGCGGTCTGCAAGTATTTAGCGAGTTGGCCCAGGGTAAATACTGGTTTGATTAATGAGTGACGGCTTTTTTCCTTCCTTGGAGCCTCCCCCCCACCCCCACACCATCCCACTTTCCATCCAGGCTGCTGCTTCTCACGTGGAGGGGGCAGCAGGCTGGGGGGACTGCTTCGGGCTTGCTGTACCTGTTCATGCCGTGTCTGATGGTGTCTGAGGGCTTCTGCAGACACCTGTGTGTGCCCCGGGTCGAGTCCGCCAGGCAGGAAGAGGTTTAGAGGGGCTTCTGCTGATGTCTTTGGGGACATCTTCTTCTGCCCTTTAGGGGAAAGGCCCCTGTGCTCCTCATTTCCTCACCCCTCTTCCTTCTTTCTCTGGCTGTAAGGTGAAGAAATCGGTCTGCAGTTTCGTCTGGGGACCTGGAACCAAGCTGGGGCAGGGCTGTTAACCACCATGCCCCGCAAGCTTCCTGCTTGGTTGGGGGTGTGGGCCCCGTTTCTCGATGAGGGAGCTGAGATTCAGAGAGAGCTGGGGATCAGAGCCAGGGATGAGCAGTCCTACCTGAGGAGCTAGTGCCCTTTGACCCTGCCAGCCAATCTCTCCCAGTTACTGTGGCCGGCCTCTGCTGGCCCATGTGTACCTGGCCCTGCCCCTGGCAGGGGTCACAGTGCGCCACAGCTCAGTTGGGTCCCAGTGGGCCTTGGAAGCTTGGCTGCATTTGAGAAGATATTAGGGGTCATTTCGGGTTGGGGGGTTTCTTCAGGAGACCCCTGAGTTTCTTTCCTGGCCCTTGTCTCATGCTTGTGAGACAGAGCATTCTGCTTTGTCATCCCCAAACGCCATCTGCACCCCCAGCCTCTCTCCTGTCCTGCCCTCCCTCTGTGGAAGCCTCACTGGCCTCCCCTTCTTTCTGCCTCCTGGGAGCTCTTTATGGCCCTCACTGCTGTCCACCTGATCAGCTCTTTCAGTTGCCTGAGATTTTACTGTGAGGTCTGGCCTCCAGCCCTGTGCGCCCGCCTCCAGGAGCTCTGGCACCGGACTCCCCGGTACTCCCCTCCCTTGGGCTTAGCTTACGGGATCCTCGCTGTGTCACTGTTTGCCGTCTGCCCCGTGGACATCACACATCCTTGAGAACATGTCTGAGCAGAGGGGGGCCTTGCCTCAGTGCTCCCGAGGGACCCCATGGGAGGGACAGGTACTAGGCCCCTCCTCCCAGGGGACTCTGAGTCTCTGTTCAGGTGTCTGCTCCCCGATAGGCCTCGGGCTCCTGGAAGCTTAAGCTTGTGTGTGACCCAGGATGAGGGAGTCTCCCAGGGGCCCAGTGTTGACAGGTCACCCACCCCTTGAAATGGGCAGGGCTGGGTCCCCGTTTCCTGAGGGCAGGTGAGGGAGTGGAGGTTCAGTGGGGTCACAGCCAAGCTGTAGTTGAACCCTTACTCTGAGATTTGTGCTTCTCTGACCCTTCACTTCACTAGTAGGCGCCTAACAGATGCTCACTGACTGACGAGGCAGGGTTTTTCATGGACGTGAAGAACTGAATTGATGGTCGGCTGATAGGCAAGTTGAATCCACATGTGTTTCTTTAGGAGGAAAGTGTGTTTTTTTGGCAAAGACTCTTCAGGGCAATTCCTGAGGGTCTCCGCCTATGGTGGGGGCTTCCCCTGGGGCAGGTGCAGCCCAGAGGAGGGTCCCTCCTGATAGAAATGTTTGTCTTCTGCCCATTTTTGAAGTATTTATGTCTAGAATAAAACTTCATTTAGGCTCAAGTGTCCTCGTTTGTGTTGTGGCCCAGGTGATTTTGATAATGTGGCATTTGGTAATGCCCAGGCTGGAGGGAGGCCCTGGTAACGCCCTCCTCTGTGGCTGGCGGTGGGCCCTGAGGGTGTGGAAGTCTCCACATGAAACGGCTTTGTTTCCAGCCCTGGTGACAACCTGTATGGCACGTGCCGAGTGTGAGATGCAGCCGTGGGCACCCCAAAAATGCGGGGGGATTGGACTCCAGACCTTGGTTCCTTTTATCTGCTCTCACCCTCAAAGCACAGTACCTGGGCACAAGTTGAGGGATGGGACCCTGGAGGTCTTGCTCTTTTGAATTCTGGTCCCGGTGTCACCGTTCGCCAGGGCAATGGCCTTGGGCAGGTTACAGGCATCCCGAGTCTTGGTTTTCCCACCTGTAGAATGGGTACTGAATGATAATATCCGCTCAAAGGACGCTGGTAGCCCCCGAGTGCAGGCTGCGTGCCTTGCTGCACCCCATATGCTGGCTCTGAGAATCAAGGTCTGGGTTTGAGGCCACTCTGGGGCCTGTGTGTGTGTGTGTGTGGCCTGGCCAAATTTTTGCTCACCTGTAACCTGGAAATAGTCACGTTTACCTGGCACGGTTATTGTGGGATTCAATGAGATTGTTGATGTGAAAATAAATGCTTTGTTACCTGGCACACGGGTGGCCTCGCCCCTTGTTCTCTGGTGAACCCTGGGTCTGACCACAGTGCCTGCGGCCTATGGGCGCTGGTCACAGAAGCTCTGTGCTCCCCAGAACTACAGTGGCCCAAGCGGCTGGTGTGCGGAGTGGAGGGAGTCAGGGAAGCACGCGGCCAGCTCTGGGGAGGCAGCGAGGGAGGGAAGGGTTTGCTTTTAAATACAGAGATTTAGCAGGGTCAGAGGGGGTGGGGTTGAGGCCAAAGGTGTCGGGGGTGGGGGTGGGATCAGGGAGAACTTTTAGAAACCCTCAGAGGATGGGGAGGCTGATATTTTAGAGAACAACCAAGTTTAATTGGCAGTGGTTTGGGCAGGATAGCTGGGGTGGTGTTTAGAAAGGCCAAGAGTTCCAGATTCTGGGTTAGTGAGGTGAGAACCTTCAGAGGTCCCGGGTGCAGGAGGGTGTCGGGACTAAGGGTATGCTTCTGGAAATCTCTGCAGGTGGGGGAGACTGGGGAAGTGGTGACGTGTGGGAGCCCAGAGATCGAGGGGCACTAGCTAGAGGGGGCAGGAGCTGGTGCCTGGGTGCTCCCCTGGCCCCCCAAGGCTGCTGGGAGCTGGGGCCTTCTCCCCGTGGTGTCCAGTGGTGCCCAGTCCCGGGGGCGTCTCTCCTCTCCTCGCCCCCCTGGCCTGCCTGTCTGCATGAGAACTTGTCAGCCAGTGAGACCGGGAGCGGGCCCCTTCATCTGCACCTGTGTCTCTCCCAGCCTCCGCAGCCACAGGGACACCCTGCACACGCTCCTGCGGGACAGGCCGGACCCAAAGACTCTGCACCAGGGCCGCCCCCTGCGAGGAGGGGCATGCCCTCCCGGCCTCTCCTTGCGTAGCCACCCGCCCTCTGACTGATGGACTGCACTGATCTGAGGCTCAGACACGCGGGCTGGACCCCTACCCACCCCTCACGAACCCTGAGACTTGGGGGAGCCACCGAGCCTTCACTTGTCCACACCTGAGGAGTGGGCTCGGACACCTACCTCACAGGGTTGTTGTGAGGAGCGAGTGATGTGGTTTGAAAGCGCCTGACCTGGGGCTTGGCACACCCTTTTGTGCTCTCAATAAATGTGTTTCTTGCCTTAACAAAAACAGTGATGGATGTGCTACTAATATGAGGAGGGCTGAATGTCGGGTGTCCTGTCTGGCTGGGGCTGCTCTCATCCAGGGCGTGTGGTGGGCGGGGAGGGCAGGGGAGCCAGCTCTGACCTCCTGTGGTGGATGCGTGTTGGGGTGAACTAACTCGGGCTGGTCCCCTTCCTTCTAATGGTTTTGGGATGTCACGTTCCTTTCCAGAAAGGAATGTAGCTGGGGAGTGGAGGAAGTCTGAGCTGAGCGCAGCGTTGGGGGTCCCAAGAGCCCCAGAGGGGCTGCCCCCAGGCTGCGACTCTTCCTCCCCTCCTCCTGCACTCCCAGGGCCCAGCAGGAGCCAGGCAGAGCTGTGGTCCTGCTCGAACTGACGGTGAGTGCGTGGCCAGCCTGGGTATGACCCAGGGCCAATGCTCACTGCACAGGATGGTTACCGAGCTCAGCGGGACCCTGAGGAAGCTGCAGGGGTGGAACCTCAGACGCAGCCGCTGTCCCCCCTGGCACGGGCACCGAGCCTTGTGCCTCCGAGACCCAGATCAGGAAAGTCAGACTGTTGGCCGAATGGTGACGGAGAGGAGCAAGGGCAAGGGACCTGTGGATCCAAGTCCACACGGAGTCCTGGGGGTCATCACACCTGGCTTTGCTGGAGCAGATGAACTGGACATGCAACCAGTGGGAAAGGAGAGGCTGACCTTTGCCACTGCCACCATCAACACCGAAAGTCACCACCACCTCCATCACCTCCTCCTCCTTCCTCCTCCACCTTCTTTCTACCTCTTCCTCCTCCTACTTCCTCCTTCATCACCTTCTTCTTCCTACCTTCTCTTCCTCCCTCCTCCTCCTCCTATTCCTCTTTCTTCTCCTCTTCCTCCCCTCCTCCTCCCCCACGCAGGGAGGTGCCTCAAGAGAACTACAGGAGAGTCCCACCATGGGGCTGAGCATGGCCCCTTCGCAGAAAGAAAGAACCACCTTGGTGCCGATGGCCATGTCTCAGCCAGGGAGACTTGACCCCAGTCCCTGATGGAGATGATGAGACTCATGGTACAGAGTATGGTCCAGGCAGCCTGGAGACAAGAGGAAGATGGCCTCCAGAGTGTGTCCCACTGAGATGAGTCCATTCCAGCCAAGGTGGGGCCAAGGAGCCGGGAGAGTCCTGCCCATGGTGGTCAGAGCCCCAGCCTCTGATGTTGTTCAGCTGTCCATGATGAAGGGCCTTCTTGATGTTCCAGAGCTGAGACCCTAGATCCATCCTCTGATGACGTTCAGATGTCCATGATGAAGGGCCTCCTTGATGTTCCAGAGCTGAGACCCAGCTCCAGCCTCTGATGACGTTCAGATGTCCATGATGAAGGGCCCCTTTGATGTTCCAGAGCCGAGACCCCAGCACCAGCCTCCCATGAAGCTCAGATGTCCATGATGAAGGGCCCCTTTGATATTCCAGAGCCGAGACCCCAGCTCTAGCCTCCCACGAAGCTCAGATGTCCACGATGAAGGTTCCTCTTGATGTTCCAGAGCCAAGAATGCAGTTCCAGCCTCTGATGAAGCTCAGATGTCCATGATGATGGGCCACCTTGATGTTTCAGAGCCAAGATCCCAGTTCCGGCCTCTGATGAAACTCAGATGTCCATGATGAAGGGGCCCCTTGACGTTCCAGAGCCAAGACTCCAGCTCCAGCCACCAATGAAGATCTTGCATCCAGAATGAAGGTCCCCTTGATGTTCCAGAGCCAAGACCACAGCTCCAGGCTTTGATGAAGCTCAGATGTCCATGATGAGTGGCCCCTTGATGTTCTAGAGCCAAGATCTTAGCTCCAGACTTAGATCAATCTGCACCCAGAAGGAGGGTCTCCTTGATGTTCCAGAGCTGAGACCCCAGTTCCAGCCGTCAGTGAAACTTGAACATACAGAATGAGGGTCCCCTTGATGTTCCAGAGCTGAGACCC